CCTATGTGATATATCTTATGTGATAGAGGAGATAGCATAAATAAGTGAGGAAAAGTTACATTTTTAAAAAGGGCACTGGGATAAATGATTTCCTATATGGCAGGAAAATTCAATTCTCAACCTCATTCTGTACATAAATATAAAATGCACCTAATAAATTAACACAGGTAAAAACAGAAAAAAAACATAAAACTTAAAACCATATACATATATATAAAAATTTGATTAGGTATGTATGCCTTTTGTGGAGAAAGTCACAAAGGGTAAATGGAGAACTCAACAGAAGACTTAAATAATACATGTCAAGCTTTATCATGTCTCTATGTGGGAAATCTCAAAACCTTAAGGATGGTTAATCTGTGTGAGGTGTGGGGTTCCCCACCTGCAGTTTTATGCTCTGTCAGATGCCACCCCTTAGATTTCATTTTTTAAAAAGTAAACTCTTAATTCCAGAAAAATTACAAGTTCACTAAACAAAAAGTTTAAAGTAGTACAATTCCCGTATACCTTATACCCAGCTTCCCTTATTAACACTAGAGTGATATGTCAAACTAATGAACCACACCCACGCCCCTTCCTCCTGCCTTCTTTATTTCAAACTCCCTCTACCCCTTCACCCTTCCCACCCTCTAGTAATCACAATTTTGTGTTCAGATTAAGGTTTTATTTTCAGCTATCACATAGGAGGCAGAACATGCAGTATTTTTCTTTCTGTGCCTGGCTTATTTCATGCAACATGATCTGATGTCCTTCAGTTCCATCCATTTGGCTGCAAATGACAGGATTTCTTTCTTTTTTATGGCTGAATAGTATTCCATTGTGTATATCAGCCACATTTTCTTTATCCATTCATCTGTTGATAGACAGCATTGGTTGATTCCACATCTCGGCTATCGTCAACAGTGCTGCAATAAACATAAGTGGAGCAGGTATCTCTTTAATACAATGATTTCATGTCTTGGTTACATGCCCAGTAGTGGGTAGGTGTTGCTTTAAACTTACTGAATCAGCATGTCTGAGAATGTGACCCAGGAATCTGCATTTTTGAAAGCTCTCCAGAGAAAATGTGTGTTTCAGATTTGGAGGCCTTGCCTTAAGAAGTAAGCAGTAAGCTGAGTTGCACATTAGAATCACTTGAGATGACTGTAGAAAATTCAGATGTCTAGGTCATACCACAGGCCAGTTAGAGAGACCCTATGTGTGAGCATTTTAAAAGGTTTCTGGTAATTTCAATGTGCAGCTGAGGCTGAGGCCCACCGTTCTAGACAAAGGCACACTTCAACTCGATTTCTCCATCTGAACATTTACTTCTAGTGTTGACTTGCAAGGAATTGGACTTTATCTTGATTGATGAAGAAACAATTCCTTATATAAGGATCGCCACTGATTCATTTGGTATCCCAGCATCCTGTCTGGTATGTACAAGGGCTTGGTGGCCATTTTCTAAAATAAATTCAACTAAAGGATACTGAAGGAAATGAATCAGTATACAGATGAGTAAAATTCTCACAAAGCCCTAAAAATTCCGCTGACCAGTGAGTCTGTGCAATAATAACTAGGTACAGTGTTAGGCTGAAAGAAGTGCAGAAATGAACAAAATACAATTCTTCTCTCAAGTGCTCATGATCTGGGGAGGGAGGCAGCTGCAGACAAAAGCATTTTACAGCTAAGCAGACATTGATAAGTATTCACAAAGAAAAAGCAGAATAGGAGAAAAAAATAATTCTGAATAGTAGAACCTAGGAAGCCATCACATAACATGGAGTGTCCAAGATTAGCCTTGATGTATTGCTGGGATTCACTAGGGGGAATTAGGGACGTTTCCACACAACAGAAGGTCGGTCACAAGGGCTTTTCTTTAACCTTCACGCCAGGCTGTAGGACAAACACCAAAGGCACCCTTTCCTTCTGTCTGCCTGGTTATTGCTCTCATTTTTCAAGAGTTTTCCTCTGCTTTATTAATTCTGCCTCATAATGTCTCTGCTGGTTTTGTCTAGGGAAAGTTTCTCATTAACATTTCTATAGGAAGCACCTGCTACCCCATCTATCCCTATTAACTGATGGCCAGGGCAATGGGGTTGACTGGGAGGGAAATTTTAATCCCCTCTGTGACTCATCTATTTTCTAATTGAGAATGCCAGGTCTAAAGTCATAAATGGCTTCCCAGTAAAAGCCATCCTTAACATTAAAAATGATAATAGAGACATACATCAACTGTATCATATCATCTATGTAAAATTGAATGCAGTAAAATCAACTTCATGACTATGAATAATTACAGATGTTAAGAATATGTATAAATGGCTTATGAATTAGCTGAAGGATATAATATTCTATACTGCTTCTGTATTGTGAGAAAAAAACTATTAACATCTGTTTCTGAATATTGCAAGTATATGTCACATTATCATGTATTAAACTGATGAATTATGTGTCCTTTTTAAACAAACTGCGCACGTTGATGTTATGTGACAGATGTCACTTGTAAAGCCCATGAGATGGGCCAGTCATCAAGGTTGTAAACACCATGATTTATCTGGACTGACAGAATAAAAGGTTGTGTAAATCAAATTGTCGTTGAAATGGAGCCTTGGGTAAGGCCTATCAACCACGGACATGGGGCATAAATAAACGCAGGAAATATCCAGAAAGCCAACAAAGAGAAGAATGCAAGACAATAGGAAGGAAAAGCAAGGTGATTTCTACAACTTTCAAGCATTTTTTTTTTCTTTACAGTGTATTTAACTTAATGGGCATCTTATTTCTTCATAGCTACTCCACCCAAAGTACATTTCTGTAATATTAATTTCTTTTCTGCAACAAGAAAATAATGTTAAAGTTCACATCAAATTTGCCGTGCACTTAAATTGTCCATTAAAGAAACTGACGTCTCTTAGCAACACCCATCATTCTGATTCTTCAGTAATGTGTAATCACATTTTACACAAGACCACATGCACAATTTTTTTTTTTAGATGTGCAAAGACTTTTTTTTTCCTTGACTGGCTGATAGAATTCTGATAGTAGCTAACCATCATCATTCTTATCATAGCACAGGTTTCCCCCACCTGACCTAATCATTTCCAGTGTGTGTGTAACATGAAGCACCACATGCTTACTGAAAACTCCAGGTGTTATTTCAGGAGAAAAGGCTCTTTAGAGCAAAGGGACAAGCCCTGGCCTGGAACAAGACGCATCTGAAGGGTGTGGTCACTGCCTGACTGTCAGGCCCATCCTCAACAAAGCAAGTGCTGTCGATGCCAGAGACAGCAGCTGAGGAGGATGACCCAAGCAGGTGTGTGAATCTGGGTGGGGTCTCTTTCCGCTGGCGCTGACTACATGAAAGTGAGGAGGGACAGCCCCTCTGCTCTCTGCCCTGCGGTGGAATGGAACCAGGAACATGAAGAGGCCTGGACAGGAATCTGTCATTTGGGAACAGCCTTAGGATTCTCAGGAAATGAAGCAAAGCCATAGCAGAGACAGAGAACTACATCTTGGCTTTGTTTTTTTAATGCCCTTTGTTTGTTTGCTTCCTTTTTCTTTTGGTTTTTAGCAGAGCAAAAATATAGGAAAAATTCTATCTCTTCATGGCCTTTCAAAGAAAGGGCTATGTAGCTTTGTGTGACCCAGAGCTTATAAAAGGAAATAGCAGACTCCTGGGGGGGAGCAGAGAGGCTGTGAAAACAGTGAACCGAGAGAGAGAGAGAGAGAGACAGAGAGACAGAGGCCGGTGGGAGAGGTCATCCAGGAGGGTGGGAAGGGCTGGGGTGGCGGGGGCGATGGTGGGCGTCAGACTGTCTAAACAGAAGATGTCTGAAGATGCCAGTCTTTCCTAGCAGACAGGAAGGGGTGCTGGTCACAGTCACCGGAGGACATCACTGTGGCATGAGGCCACACAGAGGGCCTTGACAGACAACACCCACTGCGCAGTCCTTCCCACCCTGCTCCTGCAGGGAGAGGGCAGCCAACGGCTGTGGCTTCCATGAGGGATTTTGCACACCACATTGTGAATACCTACACCTCAATTACTCACCGTGCTTACGTGCTTCCCAGACGCCCAACCCCAGCCCATGGTGACCTGCTAGCTAACTGCTGTCAGAGGGAAACTTCACAGTGAAACAGAGAGCCAGCCAGCCAGCCAAACATTGAATTGGATACAGAGCGAGAGAGCAGATCAAAAGGAGTCAGGCTGCAGCAGAGGGAGAATTCTAGGAGGAATGGGGGAAGGGGGTGTCATGCTTCATTTACAAATCCACATGGAGAACATGAATTGGTGGGGAGAGATGAGAGTTTTCAGTAGGGTGGGGGGCAGGGCTGGAGTCATCCCGGAAGTGGAAATGACAATAATGAGGACATCGTGGAGAAGGTAGGAACGGAAACAAGTCCACTTACAAGAGCAGCGACTCGCTTCACCCTCACTGTGTCCAGAACAGCGCCTGGCTTACAACAGGCTATATCCTCTAGCAATCCAGCATTGAGTAAGAAATCAATAAATGAGTGATCAATCCTAAGAGATAGCTATTCTTAAGTACATCTCACAAAATTAGAACCGAGGCCCAGAAAGGTTAAGAAACTTGCCCCAGCGTGTCGCAGCTGTGGAGAAGTGCCCGTGTGGGAGAGGGGTGACGTGTAAAAGGCTCAGAAGAATTAAAGTGGGCAGAGAGGAGAGGGGCGGCAGGGGACTTGGAAAGAATCCTTCTAGAAGGACAAGGACCCTAGGGCGGGCGGGAGGCAGCAAGGCGAGGCAGCCAACCGCGGAGACAGCTGAGGGCAGCATCCTGGGGAGCGGGGTGGGGCAGAGCCCAGAGCTTGGCGTGTGAAGAAATGGCGCGATGGGAAGCCGGGGCAGGGTGGGGAAGGCGTGGCCAAGGCGGGCAGGGCAGGCGCCGGGACGGCTGGGAGGGGAAACGCTAACGGATGGCGATGGCGGGAACGCGCCCTAGGCAGTTTTTGGGAGAGGGAAGGAGCGGCCCCACCGCGGGGCTGCTGCGCCGGCTCACCTGTAGGAGCTGCTCACGGCACTGGTCACCTCCTCGCGGATTTGCCGGTTGAGGGCGTCCGCAGCCGCGCGCCCCTTGCCACCCTCCGGGCCTCCGGCCTGGGCAGCGGGCACCGGCGTCTGCTCCGGCCCCAGCCCCTCGGCGCGGCGCACCATCCAGGCGGGCCCGGCCTTGCGGCGGGTGTCGCGCTCATCCGCACCCGACGCCTTGCCGGCCGCGGGGCGCCCTTCTTCGGCTGGAGCTTGGGCCTGGACAGTGGGCACCGGCGTCTGCTCCGGCCCCAGCCCCTCGGCCCGGGTCACCATCCAGGCGGGCCCGGCCTTGCGGCGGGTGTCGCGCTCGTCAGCACCCGACGCCTTGCCGGCCGCGGGGCGCCCCTCTTCGGTGTCAGCCTGGGCGGCGGGCGGCCCCGTCTGCTCTTGCCCGTGGCCCTCGGTGCGCCGCACCATCCAGGCGGGCCCGGCCTTGCGGCGCGTGTCGTATTCGTCAGCACCCGACGCCTTTCCGGCCGCGGGGCGACCAGCTCCGGCCTGGGCTGGGGGCGCCGACATCTGCTCCGGCCCGTGGCCCTCGGTGCGCCGCACCATCCAGGCGGGCCCGGCCTTGCGGCGCGTGTCGTGCTCGTCAGCACCCGACGCCTTGCCGGCCGCCGGGCGCCCCGCGCCGCCAGGGGCCTCCTGTTCCCGGGCGTCGGCAGCAGCCTGCATGGGCCAGCGCTCCTGGCTCTGAGGCCGGCGTTTGGGCGCCCCGAGAATAGGCGCCGGAGCCTGCGAGGACGTGGGGATCTGCATGGGCTTGGGGATCCACGGGTGGTCTCCGCGGCGCGGCAGCGGCCAGGCCCGGAAGTCCTTCTGGTACTGAGTCTCGCGCTCGAAGGGCGCGTCGGACGGCTGGTACTCGCTGCGCGGCCGGCAGCTAGGTTCTGGCCGCTGCACTTTCCAGGCGCGGTAGTCCTGACGCATCACAGAGTCCGCGGGCCCGGCGCTGGAGGTGGAGCCAGAGCCGGGGCCGAGACCCGACCCGCCCCGGCCGGGGGCGGCGGCCGCTTCGCGTTCACCACCAGGCCCTGGCGCCGGTCCTGTTGCCCGGGCAACTGCATCCAACTCTCCCTGGGCGGGCTGCGTCTCTATGGCGACCGCGCGCGCCGAGGGGGGCTGCGCCGGCTGCAGTTGCGGCGGTGGCAACTGCTGAGGGGCGCCCGGGTGCTCCGTGGCCTCGGAGTATTTGGTGAACACCAGAGGCACGGCGATGTCTGCCTTGTCTAGCTGGTTCCAGAAGCGGGCGATGCAGCAGGCCCGCGTGATGCACGGCCACGCCATGATGCCGACTGCAAAGCTGGCCGCTTGCTCGTCTCACTGTGGTTCTGAAGCGAGGCTCGAACCCTTCAGCCCCCGACCCCGACCGGCCAAGGTGGCTCCCTCCCGATTTATCTCCCCACCGCTCCGATCGGCAGGAGCGACTTTGCCTTCCTCCCTCAGAGAGCACCCTGGGAGCGTGAGAAAGAGTTCCTGCTGAAATAAAGTCTGAAAAGACCCTCTGTTACCGGCTGCGGACGCTTCGGGAGCGCAGTCTGCCGCGGCGCCGGAGGCTGGGAGTCCCGGAGTGCCCTGCTGGGGCGTCTTGGGGCGCGCCCCTCCCTGCGGCTGCGGCGGCGCAGACCCCGGCCAAGCCAGGCGATGCGAGGGAAGGTGGCTGCAGGATTAAGCCATGGCGTAGATGAAGAGCTGGAGAGGCGAGGTTCTGCTTTGCAGTCGGTGTTCAGTCGCAGCCGGACCCCCAGCTGGGTTTGGTGGGAAGTAGGTGCGATCAGCTCCCACAGAGACCCAGCACGGCCACCTCGGCCGCTGTCCCCGACGATGCTGCAGCCGCTGTCGCCGCCGCCTGTGCTGCAGAAAAGCGGCCCCACCCTTCAATGCCGCTCAGCGAAGGAAAAAAAAAAAAAATCCAGGAAAGATGCTGGGAGAAAGCGCGCTGCAGAAAAAAATCACCTGCTGTCGTCAGCGCGCGCTGCTGGGAGCTCGCCCTGCCCTCTCTCCCCTCCCCCAGCTCTGCAGCTCCTCCCTCCTGAGCTCCCTGGCAACCGCAGAATCAGGGCCTCAGTGGGGGTCACGGCACCACGCTCCTGACAACTGGCCTGCCTCGCCCGTCGCTTCACCTCCTTGGAGCCAGAGATCCTTCTTTTGTAAAACAGGACCAGTCCCTGAGAAAGAGAGGGTGTTTTCTATATATTCCATATATACACAGAGAGGAAACCCCTAGTGAAATCTCCACCCGCAGAACAGATGCTTTATGAAAGGCAAATGCTTGTATTGGGCAAAGGCACCGAGCTGCCTTTGAACACAGGCTGTGCAGGCCTTTCTCAGATCTGTGGCAAGGGGAGCGGCTGGTGCCCTGGCCAATTTCTTCCTTAAGGGAGTCCTTTGGAATGGGTGTCAGTCCCACCCAAGAACCACACAGACAGACCCGCTGCAGAAGAGGTAAAAAACCTTTTTCTTTTTGTTTTGATTTTTTTTTTTTAATTTGAAAGGCAGATTTACAGAGAGGAGAGACTGACAGACCTTCCACCTGCTGGTTCACTTTCCAAATGGCTGTAATGGCCTGAGGCTTCCTCTGGGTCTCCCACATGGATGCAGAAGCCCAGGCACTTGGACCACCTTCTTGTGTTATCACAGGAGCATTAGCAGGCCATTGGATCAGAATTGGAGCAGCTGAAGCTCAATGTGTTGCCAGCACCACAGGCAGAGATTTAACTGCCATGCCACAGATCCAGCCCTGAGATTTTTGAAAGAGACGTGAGTGAAGGAGATCAGGAAGATCGTGGCCTGACCTGCAGTCTCATCATCTGTAGAATGGAGGAAATGGTAGCAGGTTCCTACGGACAGTCGAGGACTCAGAGCGGAAGTTGAGTCAAATGCTGTAGTCCTAGCTGTATGGCCACAGGCAAATTGCCGCAAGTTGCTCACCTTCAGTGTCATCTGTAAGCAGGATTACCAATTCTGGCCTTACAAAGTATTTTTGAGGATCAAAATAAGATTATACACCGATCAAGCTTACCAAAGAACCAGGTATATATCAAGGGCTCAATGAATACCATTGGTATTCAGAAGGCCCACCTGGAGCATCCCAAAGAGACACCTGGACATTCTGTCCCAGAGCCTGCTTGTTCCTCCAGACACCCGTGGGTCCCTCCTCCTTAATTCCTCTCCAGCTATATCCGCTGCACAGTCCTCCAGTCCTCGCTCCCCGCCCCCCCAGCTATATCCACTACGCCCGTCAGCTCTTTGCTCCTCTACTACAGGTACAATTTCAGCATCAGTTAAGGTGGAGGAAGAATGCCATGTGTGGGTTTACATTAGGAATTGATTGCAAAATGCAGGTGGAGAGTGTGCCTATTTGGAAAGTCACAGGAGCCTCATCCTTCTTTCATTTGGCAAGTCTAGTCCCCTGCTGCCTACACTGCGCCCTAGGCTCTGTGTGACACAGGTGGTCTCTAGCTCCAGTGGAGCCCTTGGTTGGAGGAGTGTGTAGTGGGAGGACTGGAGACAGACTCATAAGCAATGAGCAGACTGTGTGGGCAGTAGAACAGAGGTTAACACAGGTGCTGAATGAATGACTAATGAGAGGAAGAGCGGTGGAAAGAACGTGTATTCCAAGCAACTTGATGAACAGCATTGTCTTCCACCTTTATTCACTTGGGTTTTATTTATTGATAAAGATTTAATTATTTTGAAAGGCAGAGCAATAGAGAGAGGGGGACAGGGAGAGATAGAAAGACCCTGCATCACTGGTTTAAATAATGGTGAAAGAGCCGAGGCCGGGCCAGGCCTAAGTCAGGAGCCCAGAACTCCGTCTGGGTCTCCCGTGTGAGTGGCAGGGAGCACTTGGGCCATTTTCAGCTGCTTTCCCAGGAATCCTTGTAGGGAGCCAAAACAGAAGCAGAGCAACCAGAACTCAAACCAAGCCCTCCAAAATGTGATGTTTGCATCACAGAAAATAGCTTAACTTGATGGGCCACAACACTGGCTTTAACTTGGATTTCAAAAGCACATTCAATCATACAACCTTCCTGGGCTATCCAATGGCCCCAATGTATCTGAGTGAAGTTAATTCTGCTCTACCGTTTCCCAGCGATGACCACCTAATTAACAGGGAGACTGATGCTCCCTTGCCAATGTAGCTAGTGCAGTGGTGGGCATGTGGGCCACATTGAAACACTTAGAAAACATTTCAGACTTTAGCTGAAGCTAGCCTCAAGAACATCTCTCTCCTCCAGAAACTACTGAAATGCTTAAGAGGAATACTATGAGGCTACTGCTAGTGTTCATCTTTGCAAGCCCTAGGGGAAGGCTCCTTCCAGTTAAAGCAAACAGAAAATTAGAAGACACTGCATTCTAATGATGCAATCACCCAAAGCCATTCTCCCCCTACCCACAATATACAAGCCCCAAATTTAAGCTGGGTTCTTGGTCACCCATTCACATACATTCCCTAATTTCCTTTGCAGCAACCAACCAACCATACGCACTTCCAGAGCACTTCCTTAAAGCAAGTTGCTTGTGTTGAACTTTGTCTTCTTCCGCACAGGGGAAAGGTAAGTCTGGTTAAAACAGTTCTTTATTTATTTTCAGTTCTTTCACTTGAAAGTCAGAGTTACAGAGAACGAGACAGAGAGGGGACTGTTGCTGGTTCACTCCCTAGATGGTCATAACAGGCACCTCTCTGGATCCCAGCCCATGCAAGGCAAGGACTCTAGCCACTAGGGTGTTGTGCTGGGCCCCAAAATAAATAAATCTTTAAAGATAAAAATTCACATGGAAAGGAAGAAGAGGGCAATTTATATATAAATGTAAATTATATATACATGTTCTATGTAAATATATTTTTAATATAAATAAAACTAATAGAAATAGTTATTTTGGCTGGAAGTCAACAAAGAAAAAAATATATGGTAGAACTGGCATTGCAGCACAATAGATTAAGATACTGTTTTAATATCCCATCCCATAACACAGCACAGCAGAGTTCAGAGTTCAGACAGCTCTACTTCCAATCCAGCTCCCTGCTAAGGTACCTGAGAAAGCAACAAAGGATGGCCTTAATCCTCAGGCCCCTGCCACCCTTGTCAAAAACCTGGATGGAGTTTTGAGCATCTGACTTCATCCTGGACCAGCTCCAGTCACTGCAGCCAGGGGAGTGAACCAACATACAGAAGATCTCTTTTTCTCCCTCTCTGTCACTCCTTCCTCTAGTTAAATAAAATAAATCTTTTAAAAAAACCATGGTAAATAATGAATATAAAATATTACGGAAATATTTCCACATATATTAGTGTTTGAGGTAAACACAAATGATTAAAACTTTCCAGTTAGAAGACCAAGAGGGGCAGGCGTTTAGCCGAGCAACGGAGACTCGTGGGTCCACATCAGAGGACTGGTGCTGAACGCACATGTCCGATCCCTGACTCCAGATCCTGTTACTACAGACTCTGGGAGACAGCAAAGGGACAGCTCCCGCCACCGGGCTCTGGCCATCTCTATGGGAGACCTGGATTGCCCAGCTAACTTCTGGCATCAGCCTGGCCCACCCGGCTCTTGCAGTCATCTGAGAAGAAGACCCATTGCTGAATGGCCTCTCTCCTCTCTAATTCATAAATATATTTTCTACAAAAACTTATTTCAAAGACAAAGAATTTCAGATTAAAGAAAAGCACAAAACAAAGCAAAATGCAACCATATGCTATTCACAAGAGACATGTTTAAAACCTAATGCTACATAAACACTGGTAAACAAACATTAATCAAAATAAAGCAAATGTACTATACTAAAATCAGACAAAATGGGCCTTAACGCAAACAATAGTCTAAGGAATAAAAAGGAATCATTCTATAAAAATAAGAAAAAACAGGTTATCAGAAATATATTGCATGGTTTGCATGTAACAACATAATTTAAAAATTAAGAAAGCAGAATTTGGTATAATTTCTTTAACAAAGCATTTTTGAAGATGTATTTATTTTTATTTGAGAGGCATACTTTACAAAGAGAGAATTGGTTCACTCCCCAAATGGCTACAATGGCAGAGCTGAGCTGATCTGAAGCCAGGAGCCTCTTCTGTGTCTCCCATGTGGGTGCAGGAGCCCCAAGACTTGAGCCATCGTGTGCTACTAAATTTGTGGACAATTAACAAATTTAAAATGGACACTATTTTATATTTTTACTAGATTTTATTTTGTTAGAGCAGTTTTAGGTTCACAGCAAAAATGGGCAGAACTATCCGTAAGTATCCCATTCCCTGCCCTCACACCTTACAGGGACACCT